CCCCAAAACCCCAAAACCCCAAAACCCCAAAACCCCAAAACCCCTTTTGGAGTAACACTGATTGAATGTTTTATTATAATCCTCATAGTCAAGTGCTCACTTTCTGGAACATTTAACCTTAGAAAACTAAGTATGGAGTATTGTCATCCGGCCTTCATGAATGGTTAATTTAGCAGTTGAAATTTAGTGTTTTAACTATAGACGAGATGTATCAGCAGGTTTTGGAAACTTTTACTAAATTTTTACCTAGTCGAATTAGCTTTGCAGTCTTTGCTATTCTTACTTTCTGCTAAATTTTTGTGATAAGAAAATATAAAATTTTTGGGTTATATAAGGAAATCAAATGGGAAATAGAGATAGAGAAGCTCTGTTGGTTGCTCAAGTTCTTTGGTAGTAAGTATTTAAATTTGTTTTTATAATCTAAGCTTTTTTGAACTTCTTCAATTTCTGGCATCGTCTTGAAAAATAGTTCCAACGAGCGTGTTTTCTTTTAGGATCATTAGAGGTTAAGATATGAGCAAACTTACCCAATTTCCGGTTAAAAATTTAATTTTTTACCAGTATTCAATTTTCAAAACTGTTTGAAAACGACTTCTAGTTTCACAACTCTCTAACTGAAAATATTATCTAATATTTATACAAGTTGACTTAAATTAATGCAAGATTATTCATGAGCTTTGTAAACTAGGCTTGAGATAAAATATTGATATGAACGTAAGAAACTTGCTGAAAGAATTTCTCTGATTAATAACATGCTTATAACTTATTGTTCACTCTAACTCGTAAGACAAGGAGTTTCCTGGTTTACTCAATAAGATGTCCCATCTCATAACTATAATTTACTATAAATTGAACAAATGATGGACTTGAAAACCAGAAATTTATGACTTTTTCTAGATCCAAGTCAAAGAGATATGACAGTAATCCCAATGCTAGTTATTGAGTCTCTTTAGAGCCCTAAATTGACACTTTCCCAAATTGATCTACCTTATTAGTCCTAAAAATTATTTTTAAGGTAAAGTCAGAACAACTGAGGAGTACCTCTAATGTTTTTAAAATTCGTAAAAGCTCTAGAAGGAGCACTAGAAATCTCCAAGACTATTTATCGAGTATAATGAGAGATATTAGTGCCATATTCATCAGAATTATAATGATTGAGTGCATAAAAATTATGTAAACCTTTAAAAACTCTCTCAAAGAAAGAGCAGCCATATTGATAATTATCCTATTAAAATATCTACTAAAAGTTGTATAAAGTTTTATGGGAGATGATAAATTGTCAAATCTGCTTCATTCTCTTCTATAACTTACTAACTACATCACAGTTCACATTTAAAATAGTACAGCATAGGCAGCCAAGGATTGCTATAGCTAAAAGAGACTATAAAATGTTTTTTTTCCTCTAAATACCAGTACTTATCAACCCCATTAGTTATGGCCAGTTTGTCTAAATATCTTCCGAATCTCAAATATTTCAGGCCATAAAGAGAAGCTCCGTGTGAAAAAATTCAAATTAATGCAAAAAGAAGCAAAATTATTGCAAGAATAGGGTTCTACGATTTGGTGAAGTAGGTGAAACTAATTTTAAAATTTGATCGTACCAAATTTTGTCCCAACCTCTCACATATGAAAATGGTTTACATGCTTAAAACAAGTTTCAAGAATGCAGGCTGATGGAGGCTGCTACTATTTTACCTCTATATACAGAGATCAAAGTTGTGATATGCCTCTCTGAGTATTTGGATCCAAAGAATTCTTATGAAAAGGTTCACCGAGATAATACTAATGCCCGTTATAGGTGAAGACTAACTAAATGTAATGGATTTGGGAGGTATCAATTAAATTTTAGAAGAATTACTATTTTATGAAGGGAAATCCGTAATTTGTTCAAAGTTATTTAGAATTATAGTATAAGTCAGTTAGGGACTCAAACACTGAATTTGAGGAAGTTTATCCTGGTTTAATGAAAAATCAGAGGGTCTTCTATCATCTCTCTTGTTGTTATAACTGAAGATAATTGCTTTCTGGGTAAGTTTATGAGGAGAGAAAAATCTTCCATTTTGATATCTGCTCATCTGAAGTCTCTCTTTACATTTGAAAATCATTTTCTGATGAACAGAAGCCAAAGCATCAAATGACTCCTCCTCAGCGTTCCTAACAGAAAGTGCGCTAACTGAGAGAACTCTTCTTCTTGGCCTGAGTTTTTTTTTGAGATTCTTAGGACTCTTTACTTTGTTAACTTTCTTTGCTGTTTTCATGCTCATATTAACTTGCCTGAGTTTTATATTTGAAAACAACTATAAAAATACTATTAATATTGTTCTTTAGCAATCTTGATAATCCACTGAAAAAGAGATATGAAATTGCAAGGAAACTTTGTGAACTGCAAAACAAATGATTTTTCATCTCAATCAGAAATACTAACATTAGTTGGTTGTGCCCAGCGAACATAGAGGCCATTATAAAAACTGTAACTATTGACCTACTCTTTTATTTGCAATGTTCAGAGAAAATTTGGTTCTTCCTCTTCTTTTGAGGCAAGGCTTGTTTTTAAAGTGGAGCATCAGTTTTGGGCTCTTACTAAAAGATCCTCTAGAGACACTATTATCTGAAGTGCTGATGTTCAATGTACGATTCATGGTTATTAATTTAATATTTATAAATACTCAAATTCAAAATTTTATCTACTTATAGGGGTTTTGGGGTTTTGGGGTTTTGGGG